ACTTTTGACTGATCAAAAATTCAGATTTCACTTTTAAAGATTTATTGATTTATTTGAAAGAGTTAGCGAGGGAGAGAGGGAGAGACAGAGATCTTCCATCTGCTCATTCACTCCCCAAGTAGCCACAATGGATGGGATGCCATCCAGGTCTCCCAGGTGGGTGGCAGCATCCCAAGCACTTGAACCAACTTCTGCTGTTTTCCCAGGCATATTAGCAGGAAGCTGGATTGGAAGAGGAGCAGCTGGAATGCTCATGTAGGATGTTGGCATCACAGGTAGCCGCTTAGCCTGCTGTGCTGTAGCAACACTGGTCCTCCCACTCACTTTTAAAGAATGAAATTTGGGGCTGGCATCCCATATGGACACCTGTTCAAGTCCTTGTTGCTCCACTTCAGACCCAGCTCCTGGCTAATGTGCCTGAGAAAGTAGTGAAAGATGGCCCAAGTGCTTGGGCCCCTGCACCTATGTGGGAGACCTGGAAAAATGTCCAGGCTCCTGGCTTCAGCCTGGCCCAGCTCTGGTCATTGTGGTCATTTGGGGAGCGAACCAGTGAATGGAAGATGGATATCTTTCTCCCTCTTCTCCCTCTTCCCTCCTCCCCCTCTCTCCTCCCCCTCTCCCCTTCCCTCTCCCCTTCCCTCTCCCCTCCCTCTCCCCACTCCTCTCTCTTTCTCCTCTCTCTGTAACTCTGCCTTTCAAATAAATAAAATATAATTAAAAAAAAAAGTTTGGACCATGGGAAATTCTGAAATCGTTTGAATCAAAATCAATTATGACAGTATAGGTTACTATTCCTCTGTATATAAAAGTTCTGAAGTACTTGTTTAAAAAGCAGGCACATTATAATTGTGTTGAATTTTGCACATAGCATTAGTTTGTATAGACATAGTGGGCAAGGACACTAGCCTGCTTTATTTGCCGTGTCATGAAGAAGTCAGATGTCACCAAATCTTTTGTTTTGTATAGTCCTTGAAGTGGTATGAAGAAGGAATTGATGTGGTTTTGTCAGTTTGAAATCGAGATCTGCCCTCAACACTGACCCACTGAGAAGTGTCACATTGCTTGCTTTCTGTTCAGTTCTAACCCAAACACTTTTTAAAGGATTAAGGACAGCTTTAGATGAAATGAAGACACATTTTATTTTATTTATCATAAGAGACAAAGTCAAAGGCAGATAGCGAGATCTCCCATCCATTGGTTCACTCTCCAAATGCCCACAATGACTGGGGCTGGCCCAAGCCATAGTCAGAAAACTGAAACTCAATCTGGGTTTTACTGTATGGGTAGCGGGAACCCAAGTACTTGAGCCTGCTGCCTCCCAGGGTGTACAGTAGCAGGAGGCTGGAATTGGGAGCAGAAGCTGGGACTTGACTCTAGATACTCCCTTGTGGAATGCAGGCATCTTACCTGTAGGCCAAATGCCCACCCTGAAATAAAGACACATTTTATTATCAGCAGAAACTCGATGAGTTGATACTTGGTAGTCATTAAAATGCAAATGTTAGTCATAAAAATAAATTAATGGTAACAATAAAACCCTACCATTCTCTACCAATTATTTTCTGGAATTTTTGTGGTAAATTTAAAATTTTAAGTTCCAGGTTGATCAAGTTTTTTTTAAAAAAATGAATTGGGGAAACATTTAAAATCATAGTACTTTCTAAATGTGTATTAATGGAGAGAGTCAGAGAAAAGATAATCCTACAATTTAAAAAAATGAATTTTATTTTTCTGGTTTGTGATTTGCTCAGGCAAGTTGATAAAATTATAATTCTTTTTTCTATAACATGTTTTTAGTCACTTAAATAACTTTATAAGGAAATTTAATATTCAATGATGTGTCTACATTTAAATTTGCTTTTAGTTTATAAACCCACGAGGGAAAGACAACACTGAACAGTTGTAATTAGTGTGGACTATCATTTTATGTCAACATAGTCCATATACTTAAATATTTTTGGTAAATATAGGACTCTACTACCTTTGAATTGTGGTATAATTTTTAAAAATTACCTTTAATTTGTTTGAGAGATAAAGATGGAGGTAGAATATATTCCCATCTGCTGGTTCACTCCCCAAATGGCCAGGGCCAGGGCCAGAGCCGGGATCCAGGAGCCAGGAACTCACTCCAAATCTCCCATATGGGAGGAAAGAATCTAATTAATCTAATTACCACCATCTCACAAGCTCCCAGGTGACACTAATGCTGTTACCCTGGGAACACTTACTATATTGTATTCTTTTAGAACTCTTCCATCCCTGACATATCATATTGAAGGCTGACTACAGGGGATCCTTGGTGAGATACTTCAGCAAATTAAAGTTACAGACATGAGCTGATATGTTATTTGAGGAATAAAATAATTTTGCTCATTGAGACATTTAAGGGATTTGATGGAGGAAGGACATTGCTAATATTAGATGAGTTAATCATGAGAAGTTTTATGTGTCATTGCCACCGGCTTGTTCAGAGACTGAAAGAGGTAAGAACTTTTGAAGTGGTACTCGGGTTCCTGCTGCTTAACTGAAAGTAAGATAAGATCGCATTCGTTAGGAAACAATTTTCAAAACAGACTCCTTCATTTTGACGAAATGAAGCTGATGATAGTAGGGCGATGGATTCCTTGCATTTTTTATTGACTCACTGCTTTAGAAGGTGGAAAATGGATTTCTTACCATTTTGTTGTGTTGTTGCTGGGATTTAAAATAATACATTCCACATTACCCTCAGTAATACTGAATTATTGCAATTACTTCCCTTAGGGAAAATGGAACTAAGGATTTTATACTGTTTCCTGCTTTCATCTCCATTTTGTTGTGTGGCTTTAAGGAAGTCACCTAAAGACTTCTACTTTGAGTTCTTACATAGTACTTACTGAAATTAGTGGACTTTGAGGTACATTTCAATTACTTGGAAAAAACAAAGAATTTCAATACTGTAACATGTTTATTCAGCTTACTATAATATGTAGGCATTTAAAGCATATTTTATATATATTATAAAAATTCTGGCAAATCTTTATAACAAAAATGGAAGTTTTCATGTTATCATGCCAGCAGTCAAATTAAGCTTTTAGTCAGAATCAAAATTCAAATAAACCTGATTAAAGTATTTTAGATTTTCTTCTTTCAATAATCAATATCGATGATTATTGATTAGAGATATAACTAGTTATTTCATGTATTTTAAAGACTTTTAATTCTAAAGGGAGTTAATGATAAATGTGGTTAAAAAATTCAAGCATGACACTGTTTGTAATCATCTATTCTTTTAAGTTTAAACACAGTGTTTTTAGCTAGAGTTTAGTGTGCATCCTAACCAAGGATCTCTTTTGACCCAACTTATGCCTAAGAATGGCAACCAGAAAATATGCTGAATAAAACCATATTGACTCGGATTCAAAATTTGAAATAATTCAGAATTAAGTTCTCCTTATTTTTCTGTGAAGTCAAAGTTTATTAGGCAAATTCAGTAGTATTAGCATATAATATAATATAAAATCTTTATCACAGTGTGGGAATCAAGAGCTAAACACATCTTTGCTGCTTGAGCTCTAGTCTGACTTGGTTACTTTTTTCTTTTTTAAAAATATTTATTTATTTGAAAGGCAAAAGTACAGAGAGAAAAGGAGAGAGAGAAAGAGAGATCCATCTTCCATGCACAGGTTCACTCCCCAAATGGCTACAACGGCTGGATCTGTTATACAACTGCTTGGGATCTATCACCTCTTTATTCCTTCTGCTTTCTCCCTTTCAATATGGGAATGTCTATCTTGTGCCTGTCTTACCATTTTTGTCTCAAGATGAATGATACCTCAAGTTTCACTCATATTTGTTTAGATCATATTTAGATGAGACTTTGAACTTAATGCCAGAATAAGTTGTCTTTTGTGGCTATTGAGGTGGAATGACCGAATTGTGTCCCTGCAAAATATATTTAAACCCTTATCTCCAATGTGACCATTGTTTGGAGACAAGATCTCTAGGCAGTAATTTAGGTTAAATGAAGTCTCAAAGATGCGGCCCTAATTGGATGGGGGGGGCCTTATAAGAAGAGAAGGGGGAAGGTGGAGGGAGAGAGAGAAGTATCTCCCATGCATGCGCTGAGAGGCCATGTGAGCATACACCAAGAAGTCATCCACTAACAAAGCAAGAGGAGAGGCCCCAGGCAGGAGCCTGTCTTCCTGACACTTTCATATTGGGCTTCCCAGCCTGCAGTACTGTGAGAAAATGCATTTTTGTTGTTTAAACCACCCAGTCCATGATATTTTGTTATGGTAGCTGAGCAGACTAACAGAGCATGTAAAACTCTTGGCATGTAGTAGAAATCAATTATACAGATATGCAATATCTGTGCAAACTGAGTAATGAGAGAATGTTTTTACCAGTTAAAAGGACAAGCTGTTTTCAAGTACTTTAGCAGCACTCGTTTTTAATTCAAATTACTATTACTACTATGTTGTATTATAGACTAATGTAGTAACAGCAATGTATTACTATATAATAGTAGCATAATGATATAGGCATTATGTTCTTATAGTATTATAATATTAATATTTTTAAATAATATTATTAATGTTAGTTTATGGGGACATGATAGTGCCTTATCCCAGTGAAATGTTTTCGCCTTAAAGCTCTTTGTGTACTTAAAAATGAAAAGGCTACATTCTGTCAAAACTGTTTAGCAATTCGTGGTTTTGATCAATTTCAACAAGTCTGTTTATTTCTGTCTAAACAGACTCTGTACTATACAAATCCTTAGGAGTATGAGTTCCCACATATTTAAAAAATGAGAAGCTAAAAGCTCATTGGAGATTGTGGTTAGACAGATATGATATGGAAAAAGTTAGATTCACTGGACTTTGCTACCTATGAATGCTTTGGTGTCATATATGATCCAGGATATTCGTATGCAGCATTTATATATAATCGTAAGCTGAAATTCAGAGCATCCCTTGTTCTTTGGAATTTTTCAGTAATGGAAATGTATTCTTTCACAGGTATCAAGGTTACATTTATACATATCGCGTGTCCCAGACAGAAACAGGTTCTTGGAGTGCTGAGGTATAGTTTTTTTCTTTATTTTTGCTTGTGTGGGTATCAGGCAAGTGTCTGGAATTTAGGTTGGTTTTATAAAAAAAAAGAAGTCATATCATACATTACCAACACATTACTCATATTTAGGTCATTAAATATCCAATCCAAACTTGTTCATGGATCATTAAGAAGCCTCCAGAGAATCTTGGTCCCAGTCCTATTCAGCCACCATCATGTGGAATGGTATGACTTTGGAGGAAAGCTCAAAAAATTGAAGGAATGTGTCGAACGTTTAGTGCCTATGTGAAACTCTAGAAAGCATATCAAAAACAGGAAAAATACTTAAATTGGCAATTGTTCATTGAATAAGATTAATATATCTATTGGTGCTAGAATTATGATTGTTGTTTGCTAAGAGCCTCAAACTTCCTTGGGGAAATGTAACATGAAATTAAATAGTCAGTAGTGCGAGAGCCTGTGCCTGGTTGTCAGGTGGACCCGGGTTACAGGGATGGTCTACCTTCTTCCTTGGTCCTTCCATGACTTTGGGCAGATTACTTCACTTTTCCAAAGCAGTTTCTTTATCTGTAAATTGAGCTGAACATCCATCCCTTCCTCACAGGGCTCATTTTTAGGGAAAATGGGATAATGCATATAATAAAGCTCTTATCCACAAGGCCTGGTACACAGTGAGTCTTTAAAAAATGGGACTTACTGAAAATTGCTGAACAATATGATTATGCTGTCAAGTGCTAAGTTATCTAACATGGGAAATAAGAAAAGGGAGTGTTTTCCCAAGTATTAGGGTAACTGATGATGCTGTACGTGAGGATATATGGAATAGAGAGCTGTGCTCGTTATAATCCTGGGGTTCTTCTACCTGGAGGACTTGGGACTACCTGGGGGCTTGCAGGGCTAGAGGAGGTAAGTGGGAGTGCTTCTGGTATCTACTTTGGTTTTGATTTGAGTTCCTTTTTTATTTTTGCTTATAACTCAGGGGATCCGAATAAGATTTCATTAGAAAAAAGGGTTCTTATGGCTTTGAAAAGATTTGAAAGCCACTAGATGATTGCAAGAAAAGTCTGTAGAGTGAATCCATTTCCATGGACCACGACAGTGCATTATATCACATCTTACCAGTCATAAAGGCTCTACAACTGGAGGCTTCAACCTCAAATGCTTTCTCTGCTTTCTGCCTCTGTATAACAGTCTCTCTTAAAATTATTCATTATAAGCTTTTGAAAATTTAAATGCTAATTTCAACCTCTATTAATACCTCAATCATGCTATGCATTTAAGAAACTCTAAAGTCTAGACCCAAAAAATCAAAATAGCTCTGAGCTTTAAAAATTCGTAAATAAACTGGAAAGTACAAATTACAGACTATAAACATTTTGAACTACTGAGATGAATTAGGGCAAGTTTTTAAACACATTACTGCTTTATATCAGGATAATTAATATTTTAATACTAAAGGAAAATCAGTAACATTTCTAATCAAAACTACACCTGTTTATTTCTTTAAATTCTCTATCACTGCAGAGATGATTAAAGTTATCATCAAGAGTGGTTATGTGTAATAACAGAAACACACACACACACGCACACACACATTTGTATGATTTGACCAGAAATAGCACTTCTCCTTAGATAAGTACCCTTCATCTGCTGAAGAAAATTCTTTATGGAAAGGATATTAAATTCTTAAGGCTTTAACAACCTTATTTTTTCTTTCCTCCATTTCGAGTATAACATTATATGAATTTTGATACATGCTTGTGATCATGTTAAAGAGGAGAGAGGGCTTATTGCACATAAATGCCCCCTCATGCCCTCGTCTGATCTAACCTTATTTATATAATAATATTGTAATTATCTGCACCAAGAGAGCAGAAGATTGGCATGGATTGTTACCAAATAGAAAACAGTTTAAAAATTCTTTAATTGTTGAAATTCATATTGCATTTTTCCTATCTGCCAAATTGGCCTTCTAAGTTATGGTTTGCTAATGTGAATATTAAACTTATGTGTATTCTCAGAGCTCGTACCACCTGACTGGAAGAGATTTCTCTAGAGCATATTGAAGACCAGCTAGGAGCCAACACATATTTCCATGAATAACCAAGAGGTGACAGTAGGAGAAATGTGCACATTTGAACAATAGCTGAGCTCAGTGACAGGATAGGAGCTGTCAGTGATACAATTCTTGTGGTAAATGCTTTTTCAAAATTGGGTAAATGATAGATATTTATACTAGTTTTTTTTGTAACAACTTTTTAATTTGCCACACTGCAGGAAAAATCATAAGAGTAGTACTCTAATCTCTGTCTAAAGATTATGCATAACATCTGGGAAAGGCTGAGATTTGTTTTAAAATTGAATATTGGATCCACTGAATTATGAAAAATGTTACATATTCTTAGATTATTGCATAGTGTATTAAGTTATCCCATGTGACTCAAGTTAAAATTTTACTAGATTTTTTTTAAAAGATTTACCTATTTGATAGGCAGAGTTACAGAGAGAGAGACAGAGAGGTCTTTCATTTCCTTGTTCATTCCCCAGAGCTGGGCTGATCTGAAGCCAGGAGCTTGTTCTGGGTCTCCCATGTGGGTGCAGGGGTCCAGGCACTTGAATCATATTCCACTGCTTTCTCAGGCCATTACCAGGGAGCTGAATGGGAAGTGGGGTAGCGAGGACTCAAACCGATGCCCATATGGCATGCCAGAGCCACAGGTGGAAGCTCAACCTACTACGCCAAAGTGATGGCCCCCTAAAACTTTACTAAATTTTTAGAGGATTATACACATAGTCAGCTATCCTTTATTAACATGTGCATTGGTTTTACATTGTATAAAATGTACTGGCCGCCCCTTGCTGACCCAGCCTGTGTTTTTTTTTTATATTTGATCATCAGATCAGTAGATGCTAAATAATTTTACTTATTAACCTAAGCAAAATGCTATAAATTCAGTCACTCATTTGCCAATGAGAGATTGCATCCCAAATCTGAATTGCTTCTGTACAGCTGGAGCTATTATTCCTCTCTGTTGGCATGGATAATTAAGTGTTAACTGGATATCAGTACCCAGAAAAATAATCCTTCTCTTGATAAATGGTTTTTTACAAGCCACAAGGACAGTCAAAAGATATGTGGTTTGCCTTCTTTTGACACTGAGGGGGTGTATGATTTCTCTTCTAGTTAGTGATTGTAGCTTCGTTAGCCCCTGTTTGGTTTAGTCCTAATCTGAAAGGCAAGAAACTGTGTCCAAAGATCCAGAGCCAGTTCTGCCTGCGGTTGTCTACATGAATGACCTTGGGCAAGCCGATTAATTTCTTTGTGTTTACATTTTCTCATCTGTCAAAATGGAAATAATTGAATCCACCGACAACTGCCAATCTGTGAGGAAATAGAGGCAGGGGATGGGAAACTGCCTTGAAAATTAAAAAAGTATGCTAAGGAAATTGTAAGAAAGTATTTTTGTGGCCATGGCCTGCATTTGCAAATTTGGAGGTGTTACCTTGGAGGCAAAGAATTGTCTTGACCTCCGAAAGAAAGGCTATCTTATTCTGGATGAAGTCTCAATGGAGTTTTAGGCAGGGGTTTGGATCATTGTGGAGTTCGGTGGGAGAGGGTTTTATGTCTACTGAGAGTGTATGGTGCACAATAGATGAGGGCTAAAACAAACTTTTGTAATGTTTTCAGTGAAAAATCACCCCAGTGTAAGACATGATCAGAGTTACTATGGAGAGTGTGTGAACTCCTGTGAGCGCTGGCGGACAGAAGTCTGTATCCTGGCCTTCGTGGTTTCTCATTAGATGCTAAAAACCAAACAGCTTCCCCCTCAAAAATCTTCCAGATGGAATAGCTGAAAAACAACTTTGTTAAAAAAACAAAAACTAGCCATTGTTGAATGGCTCATAGCAATACTATTTTATTTCCTGTGAAATGACAGTTCCGAGCTACTGCCTAAAGCATGGCTCACAAGCTTTTGCAGGAAATAGTTGTTGATTTCAGGCACTGTCTTTGCAAGAGAACTGATGTCAGGAAAGGAACGCATTTTAATAATTGCCTGCAAACACCGCTCTCTTTAAAAAGAAACAAACATATAAACCTGACCTTTATAGAGTCTTCTATTCTCATGTCATGGAGAAAGCATTGTCACAGTGCAGTACTGACGGAGACAGCCATTTTGGGGAGAACAAGGAAGTTTCCCAAGGAGGAAACAATTTCATGTGAAGGATGAAGCTGGACATATTTTCAGGCTAAAGAGTATGAGGGCTAACTACCCATGTGCTTCATGTATTGCAATAGTCAAGTTTTAATTTCTTGCACAGTATTTTATATCATGGAGCTATGACAGGGCGGATGGGCTGTAGGGGTTTTTTTGGGGGGGGGAGGTTGATTCCTCAGGTTTTTTGTTAATGACCTGTAGTGTATGTGTGCTTTTGTGTGTGTGTGTGTGTGTGTGTGTGTGTGTGTTTCCCTTCATTCCCTGTTCGTGAATTCATTGTGGGTAATGGCCTGTAGACCCTTAGAGGTTCAGGATGTATGATGGGTAGCAGGCAGGAAGGGCAGAGCGAGGAGCAAGAGCTTGTACAAACTAATACCACCCTTGGGAGAGCTTAAATGACAGCTCATTAGCTCCCCTTGTAGGGAAGTTCAGCCAACCAAAGTAAGCTCTTTCGGAATGTTGTTTTTCTTTCCTCCTTATGTTTTCAAATATTTAAACACGTTACACAAATGTTACCTCTCTAAGCCCCACTTGCACATTTTTTAGGCCTTTTTGTATCCATATGAGATAAATAAATAATTTGCTTGGCCTTTTATTTTTCAGACAGCACCTGGGGTACATAAACGATTTTTCCGGAAAATAAAAAATCTCATTTCAGCATTTCAGAAGCCAGATCAAGGCATTGTAATACCTCTGCAATATCCAGTTGAGAAGTCCTCAGCCCGAAGTACACAAGGTACTACAGATTTGGGTTTACTATTATTTTTTGACAGGGCTTGGAAGTTCAGGGTTATGTATTAACCTATTTATAACAATACAATCACTTAGAAGTTCTTCAGGAAAGATGCAATGAGAAAGTAGAGGTAGCTGGAAGATCAAGTGAGTGGTAATTATGTGCTATAGTTTCAACATGCTATACTACAAACTTTTAATAAAGCTGTGCAAAAATGTCAACAATTCTGTAAACCCACTACATTTTAATCCCTATTGTTCCATTTTATTCTCCTCAGTCCCTTTGTAGGTATGTAAGTCCTATTTCACTTTACTAATTCAGACACTAGCAATTTGAAAGATGGGATACTTCAGGGAATATCTCGGCTGTTCTTTACCTTTGCTTAGTAAACTTTTTTTTCCCCTTCAGGGATATAAAGGCTAATGTTACTTGGTCTATGTGATCCTGATGTCTGAATTGGTACTGCTTAATTAATGAAATTTTATTGTGGTAAAGAAAATTAAATTAGTGGACTTTATTATTCCACTGGCACAAACTGCTATAACTCCTGAGCAAAGCTATTTTAGCTTGTATGTCAGGCTAAAATGAATACCTGCAGATGCCTGTAATGGTCTGAAACGTGACTGTATGCCTCTATTGAAAGGGGTAAATCATAGCCGGTGCTGCGGCTCACTAGGCTAATCCTCTGCCTGTGGCGCTGGCACCCCTGGTTCTAGTCTTGGTTGGGGCGCCGGATTCTGTCCCGGTTGCTCCTTTTCCAGTCCAGCTCTCTGCTGTGGCCCGGGAGTGCAGTGGAGGATGGCCCAAGTGCTTGGGCCCTGCACCCGCATGGGAGACCAGAAGGAAGCATCTGGCTCCTGGCTTCAGATCGGTGCGGTGCGCCAGCTGTAGCAGCCATTTGGGGGGTGAACCGATGAAAGGAAGACCTTTCTCTCTCTCTCTCTCTCTCTCACTGTCTAACTCTGCCTGTCAAAAAAAAAAAAAAAAAAGAAAGGGGTAAATCATTTGTTTGGAGTAAGAGGATATGCCTTGATTGAAACAATAAATATTTATGATAAAAGAAAATGAATCATTATGTCCTTTTAATTTTTTGACAGGGACTCAGGCATAAACTGACAATTAGACTCAAGTGGCAAATTAAATTAATGAATACTTAGCCTTAATAATGGAAATATAAATAGAACTCTAATTGGCTAATTGTTCTCTTCTGCCCAGTATTCCATTCTTCAAAACTCAGTTTTAAATAATAGTTGCTTAAGGTGTATCATCGTGTTATATTGTTGTAAATTTTATACAGTAGGAAATTTGATTATACATTTGAGTTAACTTATGCTGTAAATAGTTTGAATGCTTATCTTTTCTTGAGTTTTGTTATTACTTTTTTAGGGAGAAGAGAAGATCCTGATGTATGCCTGAAAGCACCATGAAGAAAAAGAAAACACCTTGTACTTTATTCAGTAATTTAAATATATGCTAAGTCTTATATATTGTAGATAATACAGTTCAGTGAGCTACAAATGCATTTCTAAAACCATCATAGTCCTCTAATGGAAGCATCTAGCCTGATGTTCAAGCTGAGATGGGCTTTGTAGATAATGAAGAGCTTTGAAATGGGGATTGGAAAAAAAATAATTCCCTAGGTTATCTTCAGTTATTGTATTTACAAATGGGAAACAATTTAAAGCACAATGAATACTTTATAAGAGATTGATATCAATTCTTGCCAAATACAAATAAAAATAATACTCAGTTTTTGTCAAAAGCACCATTTTTAGTGAAATATTATTTGAGAGTTACCGATTTGAAATTGTTTCGCTTTGACTGTATGGAGGGATGTTGGTTAGTAGCCTTCATCTTTGGCATATGCAGTTCTCCATTAGCTATGGTGTCATAGGCTCTTTTGGGATTCATGAAGCTGTGTACTGTTTGCTAAAGTAAGGACTAGAGAAATAGCAAAGCGTTTCTGTTTAATTCTGAAAGCCACCTTCTTGCCTAGTGTTCTGATGTAGTACAGTAATCATCTACATACTAATGTGGAGTTGAAAATCCCACAATTAAAAATATGCTCTAAATATTGACTATATTTGATGCTCCGGGATTTAAACTTACAAATCCGGTGAAGTGTACTTTTCATCTTTTAGTTTGCCTCTGTGCAGGTTGTTTCCACTACACGTGAAACCTGATTTAAAGGGCAACCTCAGCAGCTGCAGGTCTTCCAGTAAGTCATGCGGAAGCACCTCCCTCTTAGGTATCCCTAGAAGCCCATTGGAAAGCTTACGGTTACATTAACTTTTAACAATTCCAAGTGATTGAAAGCTAAGTGAGAGTCTGAATTTTATGCAGTATTTTCTTTTCACATTTGTATTTGCATGACTTGAGTGATTGATTTTATGTTGGGTTGCTTCAGGGCTCATTGAATTGCTTCAGCCAACAAACATAAGAGGGCACGGGGCGGTGGGTAGAGAAATAAAAACACTTGATCCCTGTCCTTGGATAGCTCACTGTCTAGTTGCACAAGAAAACAACAATAAAGGTGGATAAATACATGATAAGTGAGATTCCCCATGTGTAGGTAGGTCTGCCTTTAGAGGCAGAATGAAGTAACAAATACTGTGGTTTCTGGTCTACTGGAAAAGGCTGAGCTTTATTGTGAACTAATCAATTGGGGTTCCAGGTTGTACATGCGTGTTGGTGGGCTTGGTTAATAATTAATGGACTGCTGAGAGACAGTACTACTCCCCATGTGCTGTCAAGGTCCGATTTGTGAACACTGAACATCGACGCTGTGGGAGTGCACAAGGTGGAGTACAGTCACGATAAGGTATAGGGCATGGTTTGCTATTTCTTGAATTAAGAGCATCACTTTAAATTGTAAAGGATTCCAGAAAGCCTACTTTCTAGACAAAAATGCATGTGTTTCTTATTTTTTAATTATTTGAAGCTTGAGTTTAAGTTATAAAATGTGTAGCTAATTTTTACTCTTGAATGTGCTCATTCTGGATTAATCCTAAACACATGAATCATGTTTGCATGTGCTTTTATGAGAGCTTTTTTTTTTTTTTGAAAACAGCTATCTTGAATCATTTATGGTCTTCCACATTTTAATAAAGTGTTTGAAAGCTTCATTTACCTAATTTGTCTTAAAATACTCCTTTTGAAAATATGCAGAGCAGAGGCTATTAATAAAGGAAATAAAGCACTGATGAAGGCCATCTTACTTATCTTATTGAACAGCTTCCCTGGAAAGGTAAGTGCTTCTCTGATTGTGCTATTGTCAGATTTGCCAGCTGATGAGCCCACCCCCTGTCTTCTTCGGCTGGCCTTTTATTCATCAACTTTTTTTCCCTCACTTTTTCTTTCCCAACATGCACAACTTGCTGTTTCCCAGTACATAATAGCTTGCACCTTTATAGAGAGGTCATATCCTTGCCATATCTAAAACATTGCCATGCTAACCTATACCTGTAAGATGCTGAGTCAAGATAGAAAAATGCACATATATTTCCAAGCCTACACCTCTCTTTGGAGAAAAAAAGTGTGTCAGCAGGCCCACCAGGAGCATGACAGCTTATCAAATACTTGTTCATTTCCTCTGAAATTTGCTCTCACGAGATAAGGTGAGTGAGGACAAGCTTAGGTAATTGTCTGTTTGGCTGTTACAGACAGGGAACCTTTGTTCATAGGTAGAATGGTGCATATGTAGAATAAGTCTACAGAGAATGCCTTTGATTAAGTCCTCCGGTGTAAATAAAAGGCTGAATTTAAGATATTCTTTGGTAGAATAGATGGAAAATTAAAATGTGAGAACTAGCTATAAAATCTGTTAAGAATGTTATAACATCGGCGTATATTTTATTTGATTCACTTTATTGAGTTCAGAATCCAAAGTCTATTAACAATAAAATACAGATTTGCCCTTAAGCACGTCAAGGTTATAAGATGCCTAGTCTTCTTGTTAGGATGCTATAAATTCAACTTTACCACCTATGTTTGCCCTTGTAGTAAATGGGTTACCATCACCTTGCACTGTGTGGCTAGAAGTGAAGTGAAACTACTCACTGTGAACACTTTCATAATTTGGAGTCTTGGCCAAACTTGTAGTAAAAGGCTGAATTCTTACCAATAGGTTTATAAATGAAGACTTTTTTTTAACGTAGTAAGATGTAACAAGCCTGATGAACAGGATAAAGCTTATCAACCTAACATATATGTCTTGATTGCATATATACATACACATGCAAACACACAGAAATTGAACTGTTCTCTCACAAGACAGCAAAAGGCAATAGCATATTCAATACTGGACAGAGAGCGTAAAAGCAGGAATGCATGAGACCTGAATTCTCTTTCCAGCTTTGTCATAGATTATCTATGTGACCTTAAGTATGTCAGGCTCTGAGGAATATGCCAGCCAAATAGGAATAATGTATCCTCACAGATTATTAAAGAACTGCAATTATAAAACTTTAAAGTAGTAACATTGATAAATGTTTAATAGCATTGATATTCAAAGATTTTTAAAAGGGAAAGTGAATAGAGAAGAAATGCGGAAAAATCTCTCATTTCCTGTAATGATTCTGTCAGTGTAGGACCTCTTGTCTTTTTTTAAAAATACTGAGGGTGGGGTGAGCTGCACATTTTGGAGAAGAAATTCCCAGGTGATACTAACACCCTAGTCTCCCCCCACACGCCCTGCTGTTTTGGATGATGGGTTATGTTGAGACAATCAAGGGTGTTGTCAGCTCCATGACTCTCCTCACTGTACCTGTATATCCCTGTATCACTGAAGAACACAGCAGGAGGGCGCTGTGAAGTGGTATAAATTCTAGCATTCCAATCAAATTTCAGCTAGGGGCTCTCGGGATTACATGTGTCCCCCTAGTAGCAGGTTAAAATGTTGAAGATCTGTTTGCTGGCTTTCCGGCATCACTTGTAAATACAACTTCATGTGGAAAATAACTCCCATGGTGACTGTAATTGCCTGGGATGCGGGGTCTTACAATGACTGTTGTTTTTATTCATCTTTCGTGGTTGCCCCTCTCAACGTCTTTTTTTCTTTTTCTTTTTGCTCATGTATTTGGGTGCCCTGGTCTCCTAGCTCTCCCTTATCCCTCTTTTATGATTTTTAAAAAATTTCCTTTCTATTGCTAAGAAGGCAGCAGGAGGCACTGAACCCTTTGGAAAAGTCATAGCCTAGAGGCCTTTACACTTCCAGCAGCTACTCTTCTTTGTTTATTAAACGGTCATTTGTGTCCGAGATCATATTTACATGAGACATCAAAATGAAGAGCCGTCTACCTGGGATCAGGGCCTCTCTGCAGCTACGTTTTCAAAATGACATGGTTTCATTGTTCCCTGTTAGGGAGCCACTCACTTTTCCTATCTCGGGTGACCAGGCTGACTTAAAAATGCAGTTTGGCGCATGAATAAAATGGGACACCATTTTCATTTGCAATTTTATTTTTTAAAAATGAAATATTCAAAGTACTTTTCTTTCAAATATCGACACATAATGTTTTACTTTAAATATTTACAGCATGTTGTTGTGATGCTCTTGTAGAAAAATGCATGCTTCTGGCCTGAAAGCCAGAGCAAAATGCAAAAGACCATTTAACTGCAGCCAGAGAACATGAACCTGTACAGTATCCAGTCACTTTTCAGCACAGGAATGAGAGCAGGAATACAAAATTGGAACCTATTGTTTCCTAGCAACATGGCTCAGGCCATTGTAACACAATTTCAGTATGATTAGAACCTCTAACTGTTGTTATATAGAAACTGAAAATGTTGGCATACACTGTAAACATCTTTACTTTTCATGAGAAAGTAAGCAGCTAAAAAGAATATTTTTCTGACAAAAAGGCTATACTTCTCTTTCTCTCTCTCTCTCTCTCTCTCTCCCTCTCTCCCCCTCCTTCTCTCTTACTGATACTTTCACCTGAAGAATAGTAAAGATTTAGACATTGTCATGATTCATACAAGTAAAATATTTTCAAGGACACAATCTGATAGACTAACATTTATTTAAGAGGTTAAACTCCACCACTAAATCTAAGGAAAGATTTTTAACTGCCAAACACATTTCCTTTGACAAATAATGTAAGATGACAACTGCCAAGACAAAATCCACAGCAAGTTTAACTCTAAATATTTTGTTACTGTTTAGGAAGTAACTTCTTACACACAGTAATATATTTGGTCCTTAAGAGCTTTCACATGAAGGACACACTGAAATAATAGTCACTATTTTGTGATTGAATTCTTTTTGTTTGTTTTCTGTGTTTTTTTTTGTTTTGCTTTTTTATTTTTTGTCTGTTTTTTTGTTTGTTTGTTTTTATTTTCTTTGAGAATAAAGAACCTTACAGAAGGCTGTGGAAAAGCAGTGTGAGATCTGAAGTACTAGTCAGGTCAGCTATGTGTATGTGAGTTCCAACAAGAATGTTGTGTACAATCTGTAGCCTTATGTGTTTTCCATAAGCTATAATACACTCCAATCTCTCTGAAAATTTCTATCAATACTTGGTTACTGTATTTTGGCTTTCATTTATATCAAATGCCATTATAATTGCCCTTCCATGAACATATCTTTATAAATGCAAAAACTTTGCCCTTTCTCAGGTGATATTACAGTGGGGCCTGGTCTGGTTAAAACATATTTCTAAAAGAGGAAAGAAAGAAAAGAGTCAAAGTAATATGATGGAGTGCCTGAAACTGTGTCAATAGTAATGAAAAAGAAACTCCACATGAAAATCATAACGTAATCTTTACCTCTCTGTAGGCAGCAAGTGAATTCCAAATTATACATTGTCAAGTGTTCATACATTTGGCTATGTTATGTATACTATGTTATATATGTGTAGTTTATATATTATAGATCTTCTAGATAAACTGACAGTAAAGACGCTTATTTTATACATAATTTTGGGGGGTTAAAATAGAACGTAGACTTATTTCTATGGTGTTTTGTTGAAAGTATGAATTCAGCTTTATTTCCTTGCCTTCTGCAGTCATGCTTCTAGTCAATTATGATTAGAATGACAACTACAAACAAGCATATTTAAATGTTTGTTAGACTTTGAATTTTCAGCTCATTTGGATCTCTAGAATATAGTGCAAGAGTAAAAACAAAACAAAGTAGCACAAATAAAATAGGCCTAACGGAGAAAAAGAACAACCGTGCAGTATTCCCTGCCTCCATCCCGCAGTGTTCTTCATAGGAGAGTCCAACTGCTGTGCTCTCACTTTAACTTACTTGAGTGGTGTGTGGCTGTGCAGTGTCAGCCACCTGTTTTCTGGGTATAAGAAATTCATGTATTTCTCTTAAAACTGACTTTCATCAGGAAATGCAAGTGAATTGCTGTTTCATTAATTTAGACTTCAGAGCTACAAGGCAATGAAGGTGTTCTTTCTATTCAGCCGAATAGGAAGTATTTAACATCTCCACGTTCATATTGAGAAATGCCAAAATGGTTCCCTCAGATTTACTACTCATTAGTGCTAACATTTTGGTGTTTTTCCTTGTTCCCCCCAAACTTTAGGAGTTGTAAAGAGAACAATAATAGTTCAAGGCAGTACTAAAACTGCTAACAAAAAGTGCATTTCCTGAATATAATACAAATAGAACTTTAAGAAACTAAAGGCACAAACTAACTAAATGTGTATTACAAACTAGAAATGCACAGTTCAAGGTAATTACTATTAAGTAAAAGCTTCAAATACATGTTTCTAATGGATATTTAAAGCAGTTTGAAAATGATATAACAGTGAATTGCAAAAGAGTATAACTGTTTAAAATATAAGCAAAATAGACTCCAATATTGATATCTTTAGTGATAAAATACATCAACACACGTATGAATGTATTCTTTATATACAGTTCACAAATTATTTTTCCATTTATTTAAAAGAACATCAGAGGTTCTAGAAACTTAAGGTCCATTTTTGAGGTTGATGTGGAGGTATTCAAATTTTCAACAAGTTTGTTAGTAATTTTAAAGTTCCATCTGGAATAAATACTGTGCCAAGCCTGATTCGGGAAAAACTCAATACTACAATTTTTGTCTGGATTAGCAATATCTTGAGCTAGTGCACTTCCAGTTACAAAGAGGAATGCATTCATGAGGATCTCTCTCTGTCTCTCTCAATATATGAATAAGAATGTGGTCATCCCAACCTGAAGGTTTTGAAAATGAAATGTTTGAATACCCTCTCCCCTAACATCTGTTGAGGTCCTTTGCTTTTCCTCAGTCTCCTCTGTGTGCTGTGAGTCAGACTCTTTAATAACCTTAACAGGAGCCTAGATTCTGACTTTGCAGATTTTCAGAGAGACTGTCATCACAAAGCAAGGCCATTTAGGTAGTAGCTGGAAAGAATCCAAAGTAACACTCCATCATAAATTCTCCTTCAGACACAGCAAATGTTCAGACTTGGTGCTGAAAGTGCAGAAGCTGGCTCAGGGGGATTCTCTCCAGGCCGCATTGTGGTGTATTTTTGTCTGTGGTAACTTACAATTACACAGCACTCTACAAACTGGCTCTTTGTCACTAGGCACAAATCTCCCAGCTCACTAAGGAGCTTCCTTTCCTGCAGGATTCATAGAGCTTGAGCAACTGCGCCTGATAGTGACACTAATCCTGACCTTTCTCCAAATTTGAAATGATCGCACAACAGATAACTTGTCCTGGAAAAAATAGTTATTTTCCTAGGCAGGAGAGATGATGAAATAAAAACAAATGGGTAAAGACTGAACTAAAATAACTAGCTGTATGAGTTAAGTTAGTAAAAATTAGGCTGCCTCTCCATACACAGTTGTAATGTCCTCGGTTGGAAAGGGTTCACTTAATTCAATTTCCCCGAATGTGGCTGGGAGATGTTCAAGACAGACTACAGGTTTGAAAGATAAATCTAAGTGGGCTGAAACAATGTGACAACTACTGTGAAATTTGGTTTGGTCTTTCACTTCACTCCCAGGTCTGGTTTCTTTTAAGGTTTTGGCTCTTACGAATGTCTGCAGTAGTAGTAAACCTATTTATCAGCATCCCAGGCACGACGGCCTTCTAAAGCCTCTTTTTGATTTTGTTTTGTGTGTTTTTTTTTGTTTTTGTTTTTTTTTGTGTGTGTGTGTGCTAACAGAATCATACTTGTTAGTAAATTACCTTTCACGTGCACAAAACCATTGGATTAGTGTACAAATACTGAATCACTAACGGGAAACTATGACCAAAACACACCTTATATAGAAATGAGAAATCCCTACCCAGGTTACTAAAAGCTATGTTTATATGATGCCCAAACAGCTGGACAGTTGGGTAAAAAGAACTCAGTCAAAACAGGTTGTGTGAGAGAGGTCACGTGGGCCAGCTGCTTTGGTATCACGTCCACACACGCGAACAGTGGCTCTTCAGGCTGCTAACCACACCTCCCGGGAAGTGTGGCAGACAGGCCGCAGCCCGCACACGCCGAAACACAGCACAACAACATGGCATTTACTTGAACAAGCAAGGAGGAATCACCGGGGAGGAAGGGCAAACGGGGCCTGATTCTGGGAGATGGTGGCTGAGGGCGTTTTACATTTCTTTTTAAATTTCCTATCACAGATCTGGAAAACGTGAAAGGGCTGGCAGGCTTTGGTGCGACTGCACCACCTCTGCAAGTCCCGCCCACAGTTACGTGTGAAACCCGGTGTCACAATCCAGGTAGAGAACCTTGGGTTCCTTCTGTGTCTCTGAACATACAAATGGCTCAGCGAATTTCAAGTGGTGCTTTCCGAAAACTTTTTGAGCTGTTGGAGTTCTACTTGTGTTATTTTGAATACTGCCACACAAGAACTAAAAATCTGTCATTTCATAAAGAGTTTAAACAAACAATATTAAAATACCATCTTCCGTCACATTGAAAGGCAGTTGGATATGTTTTTCCTCCATATTTACATATACAGAGTTCTGATCTAGAAAACCAATACAATAAACCGTTTTATGTTTTAAAAACAGGCAGTCTTTGGTGACGCAAAGGCAGAGATTTTTTTTGTTACCTCCTGCCTATTTCACTCTGTCTCATAAAGTGAATATTGTTGGCACTGTCAGAAAGTTCCAGATACTGCTCAACAGACAAAACAAAATACCCATCATAACCTTGTACCCTCCCGGTGCTCAGCAGCTGCTGCTTTTCCCCCTCTGTCCATGCCCGGATTCCCTCTTCCCCTTCTTGCAGGCGTCTTTGTTCCTTAGTCCAGGCCTGGGCCACGGCACGCTGTCTGGCGATCTCCAACACGTGATTCTTTTCTTCTTCGACAGTTGTCCCATACCGGATGTTGAAGCACAGGGCTCCGTGTTGGAGCTGAATATCTGCAAACCGTCTAGTCCTCCCATTCAACACAGAGGTCATCTGGGACACCGTGACATTGACACCGTTCTCCAGAATGCGCCTCCCCCCAGTGTTCCCGATGAGCACCAGGTCTTCCTCCAGAGACCCAAGCTTGATGAAGTAGTGAGTGTCCCGCCCCTCTATGGTAAAATGTAGATTTTCCAGGTAATGAGCATTATTGAGAATGGCAGCGAGCCGCCTGCTATCTTCATTGGCTACTCCTATGATATCAGCTGTTACTAGGCCATCCTTGATGGCAAACTTTATACCTTTTCCAAAAACCGAAGGGACAGCGGCAAACCGTGGTTGCTTCCCTCCTTCAAGGCACCGTCCGTCATTGTAGCGGGGAGTCATGGGAAGTTGGTCCAAGGAAATGAAATTCCTTAGCTGTTTCTGGAGCTCACACTGAATACCCAGGATAGTCTAGGAAACAAGAAAGGCCCAGTTCAAATGTGGCACAGGGTTAGACACCTGTCAGACACCTGGGGATTGTGGGAAGGAAAGACTTGTAAGGTTGCTTCCTTCTCTAATTTCTTGGTGAGTGACTTGAAAGCAAGCCAAATTTGGAATCTTCTCACCAGGCCTTTGGAAAAGAAAAGACTAACAGGTGCCTGATCACCTATCATTCTTATATCTTGATTGAAGCAAGCATAAGGAAATGTATGCAGATGATATCATAGAACCTCAGAACTAGAGAGTGCTTGAAATGGGTTCAGATCCCCCCAAACACTTAATTCTCGCCAAATCAACTGACATTGACTAGATGTTATTACTGCATCTGGAGTAATATATCAGCTACAGTGAGGAAACAGAGCTACACTCTGTGCATGTCTTTAATTTTCAGCTGTTTGTCACCTTACAAATAACTACAGTAAGGAAGCAAGAAGTTCACTGACATCTTTATGTGTACTTTAAAAGAAACTTTTTTATTTTTGGCAGTTCTCAAACATATTTACATAGAAAGAAAATACTTATGAACCTCCAAGTATCCATTATGAAGTGTCAAGCAATTTTCAATGTTTTGCTTAATAAGGATTTTTTAATTATAGAAAGCACTTGTGTATTTGCAAAAAAGGATAAGCCCATGGGATCTACTTAGAATTTCTTTTCCCTTATAAGTTTCAGACTCCACCCAAATTTTAGTTTTATTTTGTTAAAACCATTGTTTTTACAAATGTAGGTAGTCCTGTTTCTTTCCACTGAAAGAAAAAGCTTTTTCTGTTTTCATTTGTACCTTATTATCCAGATGAAATCATCGTTAAATATTCACGATTTTGGCATTCCTATTTGGTTCAAAGACTTCATCCCTGTAATATTATGTTTGCTTCATTGCAATAATATATTTTATTAAGATAATTTTATTCTGATCAACCCATGTTCTAAGGTACCATATCCTAAATTATTTACAGTCAGAAATCTGGTATTTTTTGGGGGGAGAAGTCCTTTCTTATTTTTTTATTACATTTTTAAAATGTTAACAGACTATGAAAAGTATATATACTTTTGAGATACTATCAGTTACATGCATACATTGTATAATGTCCAATCAAGGTTATTATGCTGATCTTCCAAACATTTAACATCTCTTCATAATGAAAACCTCCAAAAATCCTATCTTCTAGTGTTCTTAATAGAGGAATATATAATACATTAATGTTATCTATAGTTACCCTACTGTGCAATAGAACCCAGAACTTCTTGCTCCCATCTAGCTATAACCTAGTACCAGTCAAACAATCCTCCCTCCCCAGCTTCTGGTAACCACTGCTGTATTTTTAACTTCTATGAGATCACCTATTTTTAAGATTGCACATATGAGTAAGATCCTTTGAAGACATTTCATTTTTTATGTTTCCTAGTGAATACTCTTTCCTATGTAGAATCCACAGTCACCCTTGGTAACCTACTTCAGAACTTTAAAAGTTCAGTTTCTCTTTCCTCTTGTTTGTTAGTCATCACTTTATCAAAAGCCCCAATTTCCTGATCTTTTCCTCATGGAAGTTTTTCCTTGTCATAAGTCATGACCGTTTAGTGAATATTCAAATAGACTCAAGAATAAGTAAGCAAATGTATCTAAACAACATTTCATGGTATTGCATGCTCTTGTGTTGTTGTTTTTTCCAGCTACACAGAGATAGTAAAACTTTTCTCACCTTTCCAGGATCCCACTCTTGAGTTTTTGTCTGAAGCTGTAGAAGCTCATATGTTAATTCCAAATTTTCTAATTCTGGTTTGGGAAATCCAGGAAGTACATTGTGTAACTGGAAACCAAATAGCTCCAACCAACTTCCAATGTCTGTGAGAGAGAAAATTTAAAAGAAAAAGAAAAAAAAACTTTTAAAGCTCATACTTTACGATCGTTGTTGAAAACATGAAAGATGCCTTCAATATGTTCAGGCAATGGGAAGTTAGGGATCAAACTCCCTCTTTTTATGACCTACTGTAAAATACATGATCGTTCCTCTACAGGGGACGATTTCTGCTTGTAAATATTCCTAGAGCTAGGCTCAGGTTACTGCCTTGAATTTTTTTTTGGAAGTGTGTTTTTTTTTAAATTTATTTGAAGGAAAGAGAGAAGTTTTCCATCTGTTGGTTCACTTCCCAAACTGTCAGGACAGCCAGGGTTGGGCCAGGCAGAAGCCAGGAGCTTCATCTGGGTCTCCCACATGGGTGCAGCGGCCCAAAGACTTGGGCCATCTTCCCGTGCTTAGCAGGGAGCTGGATTGTAAGTGGAGCAGTTGGGACTCGAACCAGTGCCCATATGGGATGCTGGCATCTCAGGTGGCGGCTTAACCCGTTATACCACAACACCTGCCTTGAACTTTTAATGTGGTAGTGGTGCTAAAGTCACACTGATGATGATATGATATTTATATGATGCAACATAATTCTGAATTTTCCTTTTATGATATTATTTGTACAAACTTTAAAGAGAGACAGTGTAAAGGGGGAGAAAAAAATGTAGTGGGATGGAAAGCTTCAGTTTACGTTAACTTGCATGGTTTGCTCAGTTTAGAAAACTAAGTGAATGCACAAGAACCCGTGGGCTAACTGGCAGGAAGAGGAAGCATATTTACAAAGACATTGAGATTCTGTGATAAAAGCAACAGTACTGAGTTATGTCAAGTTTAGCGGGAAGCTTTACACTGTTTAAATACCTGTGGTATACTTGGCGACATCTTGAATTTTGCCAACTGGGTAGTTATTTTCAAAGGAGTAGAGGTTGAATGGCTTAGGAAGGAGGTTCAGCTCTTTCCATATGTGATGATTGGGCGTTGTCCATCTACCAGCGACAACATCATAGTCCCTTTGTCCCAGGTGTACTAACTTAGTGAGAAAATCATAGAGTCCTCCATGAAAACCAATGATGACCTGAAAGTCAGGGTAAGTGTCATGATAGATGTCACCATAAGGCGTGTATAATATCTCTTTTATCACCTGACCTCGACTGCTGAACACAGCTAGTGGGGTACCTGTATTATCACAGGCTACATAATACTCTTCACCACTGCTTAACTCCATGGCGATAAGATGACCTTGGAGATCATAATACAGAGATGTAATCTCTGAGCTCGTGTGGTTGTACAAATGAGTCACTCTTATGGGGTTGGCAAGGTCTGCATAAAAGAATTGGAGGTGCTGCCCTAGGCTGGACTTACTGGCAACACGTCGCCCAAGCCCGTCATAGTAATATTGTACAGTCCAGCCAGAAGCCTTGTTGTAGGCTTTCTGCAGCAGACCATTAGAATTATATTCAAACACATCATTTCCCCTCTGCCTCAGAAAGCCATCTTCATCCATCTTGTACTGAATCTCTCCTAATCTGGTGATGCGGTCTCGGAGGTCATATCGGAGAGGAGTAAGACGAGCACTGTTTCCATGGCTTAGGAGGTTGATATTTCCATTCAGATCATAACTATAACGCCATTGGGTTTTGTCATTTACAGAAACAGTTTGAAGTTGCCCATCAGCATCGTATTCGTAGAAGTACCTTGTTATATTGGCATCTACTCCTACCCTTATGTCACATATTACCATACGGCCCATATTATCATACTGAATAGTCATCCAGTAGGCAATCGCCTTTAGGATTTCATATTGGACTTCAATGACTTGTCCATTGGCACTAAAGATCTTGGTGTGCTTCATCACTGTAGTAGTTATGACCTGATTTAAATCGTAATTAATGACACTAAATTTTCCAAACTGCTCTGTTCTACCGGAGACATCAACGTATCTGTAGAGATCTATGGGCAAAGGGGTTTCATTGATCACAGCTTGCATGCTGGTGACACGGAAGTTGTTGTAGCTGTAGTCAAACCGTGCATTCACAAGACCTTCTTCACTGAATCTGAAAATCTGGCGTCCAATAAGAGGTCCTGTAGGAATCAAAATTAAAAATGAGAAAGGAACTAGGTGATCAAATGTGGAACAATCAAAAAGTCTAGTGTTATTTCAGTATTGATGCATTTACATTCAAAATGGAATAGTGGAAGATGACTTCTGATACCTAATTCCTGGACACATCTTGTAGACTTACAAAGGTGATCCAAAAACTTCATGGAGAAAGGAAATGGAAAGTTTTGAATTCCATGTACAAGAGGGGAGGTCTTCAAAAAGTTCATGGAAAATGGGTATCATGAAAAAACTTATCTTTTCATTCCATTTTCTTAGAACTTTGTCAAGTGTCCTTATATATTCTCATAGTGGTAGTCACCAAATATGGAAAAAATTAAAAATATTGTATAATATCATTATAGGATAATCTAATATAGAAACCACAGAAGTAATATTCCATCCAGTAGCCTGGGGTGATAAAACTGATATAATGAACATGCTTTCTTGTTATAATCACAGACAAAAGTACTTTCATTTCATTTAACCTTTGCTATAAAATCAAAGGGTCAGGTTTTGACAAAGTCCAGTGCTAAAGTAACTGGATCTGGGCATTTTTATACACCCAACAGATGAGATATATTCGAAAGTTCTGACTTTTGAAGATAGTTTGTCATCATCTGAGGCTTATAGAGATTACCTAGGGCTTGAGCTCATTTCAGTGAAACTCATATCTTGCAGCTGCATCTTTAGGAAGCTTTGGTGGTGAGAAGGAACAGGCATACAGTTAGACCAGATCTGTAGATCTCAACTTTCTTGAAAGCCAAGAGAAAGAGAAATGCACTATATGTCTTTTAAAGAATAGACTTTCATGTAGACTACAAGTGTTTTAAATTTTCCATAGAAGATAATTTGATAGCTAAAGTGAAAATTCGTTGGGTTGGAAGCATAAAGGTCAGTGCTTCTCAGACTGTAGTCAGCAAAAACATCATAAGAAAATACTAATGTTGTATACATCAGCACTTTTTCACAACAAACCTGTTTGCCTGTATCTGATTGTGCAGATGAATCCATCGTGCATCAGGTGTATTGTCTTAATCACTCCAGAAGACTCTTCATATGTTAATGTGACCTGAGTGGTATCATAGAGAATCTCCGACAGCCTTGCTTGCTTGGTGTACTTGTGCAAAACTCTGCGCCCGGTCCCCAGATGCAGGGTCTGCAGGAGTCGGCCATCTCGACTATAGTCTTGGATAAAGGAAGTGCTACTGTCTGGTGGGGTGTAGATGTTCCTGTAGTAGCCCACCGAAAGCATGGTTTGTAAGCTGTGGCGCACCATGCTAGGCATGGTGACTGAGAGAAGACAATCTGATTGGTCATACTCAAAGATGTAACGCCGCTGGCTATGTAAGAGAAGCATCACAGACTGAAATGAGACAAAAGCAAAATAACATAGAATGTGTCATTAAAGTTGAGAACATTAAAGAAAACACACCTTCATCCAGCCATCACTTAGTAAGGGGTAATGGAGTTGAAAGACAAGTAGTCAAACCAACATAGTGTGAAGTGTGCTATCATAGTGCAGGTACTGAGTGCTTCTGGGAGACAGAGCAAGAGCAGATAACCCAGACTTAAGAGGCCAGGGAAACCTTCCTGGAGAAAGGGACATCTGAGTTGAGACCTAAAGGATGACTAGGGATTGTGCAGGGAGGGTGGGAGAAGAGAGACAGTACTCCTAGTAGAGGATACAATATTATGAGGGTCTGGATATGAAAGAGAACATAGCTTTTTCAGAGAATGACAGGAACTGGCAGACAATGGGGTGGGAGTGGTAAGTGGCAGGAGGTGAGAACAGCTGGGCCGGGCTGGGTTCAGATCATGTGGAGTGTTCTAAGTCATGCTAAGGAATTCAGACTTAAGTGTGTTGATGAGAGAGAGCCATTGACAGGTTTAAGCCAGTTGAGGGAAGGGGTACCGTGGAGCTGGGAGAAACTGTCAAGTTGCTAATTTAGAAAAGTCCTTGCTGCTTCGATGTGAAGATGGATTGCAGAGAGGTAAACCAAGGTCAGGGTACTTCATGTATGAACTCAGCCACAAAAGTGCCTTAACAAAGCCAAAAAGTTAATGACGTCACATAGTGATGTTTTTCTGTGAAGCTACAAACTATTATTATTTTGCAAGTCATGCTTTATTAATGTTTGAATTTACATTTTCATGTAAGGGAAGCATGATGTTATGAGTGAATAATTCTCTGGTTATGCAACCCCATTTCCTGCAACTGATTTACTATTTCAGAAACAGCTATATGTTGATGAATGATGCCTAGCATGCAATAGGTGTTTCATAAGCATTGGTTGATCTTATTTTAATTTCATGTAAAAGCACTGTCTTACAGAGGACACTGATTCACTAACATTTAACTCTCATGTTTAAAAATATTTTTTTCATTTCATTTATTTGAAAAGCATAAAGACACAGAGAAAGAGAAAAGTTGCAGGTGCTGGTTCACTCACCAAATGCCTGCTGGGTCAAGCTGAAGCCAGGAGCCCAGAATTCAATCCAGGTCTCCCAGGTGGGTGGTAGAGATCCAAGAACTTGGGGCCAGCACTGTGGCATAGCAGGTAAAGCTGCCACCTGCAGTGCCAGTATCTTGCATGGGCGCCTGTTCCAGTCCTGGCTGTTCCACTTCCCATTCAGCTCTCTGCTGTGGCCTGGGAAAGCAGTAGAAGATGGCCCAAGCCCTTGGGCCCCTGAACCCATGTGGGAGACCTGGAAGAAGCTCGTGACTCCTGGCTTCGGATAGGCACAGCTCTGGCTGTTGCAGCCAATTGGGGAGTGAACCAGCGGATGGAAGACCTTGCTCTCTGCTTCTCCTCCTCTCTGTGTAACTTTGACTTTCAAGTAAAATAAATCTTTAAAAAAAAGAGAGAGAGATCCAAGAACTTAAACCATCACCTGTTGCCTCTCAGGGTGCACACCAGAAGGAAGCTGGAATTGGTAGTGGAGCTGGGAGTTGAACCCAGCCTTCTGGTATGGGATGCAGGCACCAAAAGCAGCATCTTAGCCACTAGGCCAAATGCTTGCCCCTAACTCTCATCTTTTAGAGAGTCTAAAGGAGCTTTAATGCTCTCCTCTTGAGAATTACCTTATCAAGCAAAAGGATTTAACTGAGCTTTATATTCTAAACATTATGTTATGAAAACGGGGATTTTTTTCATTTTCTAAATATAAATAACTTACATATTTATGAATGTGAATTGCATAAACATATGTAATATGCAGTTAAGTCTTCTAAATATGAAATTCTGATACTGGATGTGCTTTTGGAAACTGCATATCTTCCCTACCCTTCTGAGAATTACTGAGTTTGAACTGCGTGTCAAAGTCAGTGGTTACTTGCTTGCTCTTTCTTTCTTTCTCTCCTCCAGCACTGTGGCTGAGGATTCAGAGGTGGGTGTGAATTCCTGTCAACTCCTCACCTGTGGCCACCTCCAGCTTGCCACTGTTGTGACCTCTGAAAACCTTCCTGAAATACAGGGGCCTTGGAAATCCTGCCTGAGCCTGGGGAACATGAAGTGAGAACTCTTTCCCTTGACCAAAGAGGAACTCAATAGAACCAGCAGGGAATTTTCCTATGTAAGGTAGAAGGGGACAGCAGGGTAGAAGATGACTTTTCATTATCTCTATGCTGAAAGTCAGATTTCTTAGCTCCTTTCCACTCTTCTGTCACTTCTCCACCAATAAGTAACATCTGTCATGTGGGCCAAGGACAATCACCATATGGTCTCCATGCATTATCTAGTATCAGCCTGCCTGGGCCATGCCTTTTCCAGTCACTATGCCAGCCTTGCCAAACATTTACAGCATATCGTTATTGTATTCTCTCCCTCCAGCCTGCAATAAACCACTGCTTGAACCCTGCTCCTAGGTGGGGCTGATGCTCAGCTGTCTTGATCTGTTTTAAAGCTTCTTGCCAATAGCAAAGATGTGACTGATGTGAACAGAAGTTTCATGAACGTAAATATTGTGTTGCTAGAATACAATTTAGCTATCATGAGGCTGCTTTTCACTTTGTTTTTGAACCAACTGATAATACCTACCCAGTCAAACAGGGGCCAGCTCCGTGGCGCAGGTTAATCCTCCGCCTGTGGCGCTGGTATCCCATATGGGCGCTGGTTCTAGTCCCAGCTGCCCCTCTTCCAATCCAGCTCTCTGCTATGGCCTGGGAAAGCAGTGGAGGATGGCCCAAGTGCTTGGGCTCCTGCAACTGCATGGGAGACCGGGAAGAAGTATCTGGCTCCTGGCTTCGGATCAGCGCGGCTCCGGCCATTGCAACCATCTGGGGGTGAACCGATGGAAGCAAGACCTTTCTGTCTCTCCCCTCTCACTGTCTGTAACTCTACCTCTCAAATACATAAATCTTAAAAAAAACCACACACACAAAATGCTTATGAGTGTGTCTAATGTCCACAGTGCTGCTACAGGATAAAATTCTATTTACTATTAGTCCAAATAACAGAGTTACAGGACTTTTATCATTCTGATTGACTGTGTTTCAAAGGAAAAATAAAGTCATGCTGTATACCCAATTTGAAGAAGCGAAGAGAGTAATTTGACTAAAGCATTTGAATGACCACTAGATGGCAGTATGTAGCCACCTGGAAGCTCAAGCCAAAAATTGCATTCTGTCCCTCTAAGTAGCATTTGAAAACTTTAGCCCCAAAGAGGCAATTTTGTTCAAATGCATTAAGACTAAAACATCTTATTAAATGATTATAAAATACATTTAAATTAATTTTGAAAATTAAGTTGACAAGAATGATTTTAGGACACTGAAAGACTTAGATTTCCTGTAATACAAAATTGTAGCCCCACAAGTCTTCAAAAAATAACTCAGAGAAGTCTCATAAATTAAGACAGAGAATTAATGACCACGTAGAGGAAAGTTAGGAAACAATAATTGATTTTTTTAACAGTGAAGAAATCATTTAAGCAACCACAGCTATAACCAAAATAATTGTGGTTTTTTTCTTCCCCCTAACGGATAAAAACCATTGTGCAAGAAGATATAACTTTCACTTACTCTAGAGAAAGTCAAATTAGTTTCACAAAACTTCTGCATGTTAAGTTGAAAAAATCTGCTGCCTTAAAACCTTTATTTCTGAAGGACAGAAAGAAACAGAGAGCGTCCATCCTCTGGTTCACTTTGCAAATGCCTTCAATAGCCAGGGCTAGGCCAGGCTAAAGCTAGGAATCCAAAACTCAGTGCAAGCAGGGGCCCAAGCGCTTGAGGCATCACCTGTAGGCTGCAGAGTAGTAGGAAGCTGGAATTGGAAGCATAGCCCAGACTGGAGCCCAGGCACTACGATGTGGGATGCAGGCATCCCATGTGGCATCGTAACTGCTGTGCCTGCCAAATGCCTGTCCCTGCTACTAGTTAATGTATGACAGTATAGGAAGGGCAAGAAAACTGACAGAAGTAATACCAGATTATTCTGGGGATATAAAGAGAGATGCATTTTAAAGTTTGTGAATTCCTACTTTATAGCACAAGACCCATCACCTTTGTCCCTGCTCTGTCACAGTGAAAGGGTGTGTCGTCAAAGGAAACACAACCTAAATAAGTCACTTGAAACAGTTACACCCATAAATCACATTTTGGCAACTTCAATCTTCTCTCTTATTCCCTCAGAATCACCATTTCCAAGACGTTTAAATTTCCTTCCTTGCCTCTTCTCTCCTCCTCTCCTTGTTGCCTGCCAGCCTTTTGTCCTTTCCTGTTTTGGCCTGCCTTCGAGTGGCAATAAGTGCTAGCTGGCATTTAAAATCTCTAATTGGGTATTCTATATCATTTCATCTAATCATACTTATTCAGTGAATTAGTTATTATCACTGGTAATAATGTTAATAAAATCAATTTCACGATAAATGATTTTTGAAAGTAAAGAACCATTCCATAATGTATTTTGTAGGTTTGGAGTTTTGCATATTAGAACTGCTTAAATTAAGACTATCCTTTTTTTATTAGACAGGTAGAGTTACAGAGAGAGAGAGAGAGAGAGAGAGAGAGAGAGAAAGGTCTTCCTTCCATTGGTTCACTCCTCAAATGGCCTCTATGGCCAGCGCTGCGCCGATCCGAAGCCAGGAGCCAGGTGCTTCCTCCCGGTCTCCCACGCGGGTGCAGGGCCCAAGCACTTAGGCAATCCTCCACTGTCCTCCTGGGCCACAGCAGAGAGCTGGACTGGAAGAGGAGCAACTGAGACTAGAACCCAGAGCCCATATGGGATGCTGGCACCGCAGGCGGAGGATTAGCCATGTGAGCCATGGTGCCGGCCCTAAGACTATACTTTTGATTATAGAACAAATTAGACATGAGGATGGGGACAAAAGTCAACTAAAAGCCATACATAATTTCACTTGTCTCACTGGTCAATAAACTAGTCTTTGGAAGTCACTGGGGTTTTTCATGATACTTTACTTTGGGTCTGTAAGATCTCATTTTCTGCCCACTGTAGATGTTGACAGTCTCACAGAGGTTTTTTTAAAAATTATTGCCAACCAAGTTTCTATAGGAAAGAGAATTCATGTCAAGTTTGCTGCACAGGATTATCTGTTCAAGCAGATCTCAAACTAATCAGCTCATTCAGAAAAGAGAAATGATACAGTATCCTCACTGGTGTCAAGAAGAGCTAAATAACTGAAGTTTTTGGGCTCTTGCTGTACAGGTGGCCTAAAAAAAGTCTTAGAGGCCTAGAGCTGATTTTCCATAGACAGCTCATTGGGTCATATTATGGTGCTAATGAGGTTGGAGTTATATGTTCAAACCCATACATACTCCTAAGGAGTGGTGGCTTCCCTAGTCACACGGAGGACCTGTGGAAGGCTCAGGGCAAACCCATCCTTGTTGCTAGAAAACAAACTTGGCCAATGTTCTGTTAATGATCAGGGGCATGCTTTTCTCATATGAAGGTCTTCAAAATATGCCTTAAACACTTTCTGGAGCCGGCACTGAGGCGTAGCTGGTAAAACCACTGCCTGCAGCACCAATATTCCATATGGGCGCCGGTTTGAGTCCGGGCTGCTCTACTTCTGATCCAGCTCCCTGTTAATGCGCCTGGGGAAGCAGCAGAGGATGGTTCAAGTGCTTAGGCCCCTGCACCCATGGTGGAAACTCAGAAGAGGCTCCTGGCTTCAGCCTGGCCCAGCTCTGGCCATTGCAGCCATTTGGGGAGTGAACCAGCGGATGGAAAATCTCTCCCCCCACCCCGTAACTCTGCCTTTCAAATATTTTTTTAAAAGAAACACTTTGCCTATGCATAAACATCAAGCAATATTTGGATTCAGTTAATGTCATGACAAGTTTGGCACTTTGTCGACATTAGTCATAGGATTTTGCCAATCATTCTAGTTACTGAAATCTCAAAGAGGAAAAACCCAATCTACTAGAGGCAGATTGTCCCAGTAGAGAGGATATATTTTGTAACGAGTAGAACAGCTCCGCATGATTTGGCACAAATAGTGAAATTTCGCCAAGTGAGCTGTGAGCTCTATGACTTTTCCAAGAATGTCTCTGGGTTACCTTGTACTGATTACCCTGGACTCCTCAAGGGAAAGCATTTTTCAGTTTTCACAGAAATTAATTCAAGGCTGCTGAATGCAGTTAAATGTGTAGATTTGGGAAACGAGGCATTATCTTAGGCAATCGCACTGAGATGGCAGATGGACATCAATTACTCAGATTGTCCTCTGGTACTGATCAGGTCAGAACCCATTTTGCTGTGTAGGGGCTGATGTTTGACAAATGGGTCCTGCTGTGGAACGAAAGTCCTCTCTTGCCTGCTCTGAGAAGGCGGAGGCCCAAAGCTCCCATTATAGATTCGAACGCACACAAAAGACTATTCCCAATGAGATCCCACTGCCACCATTCCCTCAGGCTGATTATTTTTGAAAAATAGTTCTTAAATGTATATGACTCCAATTTCACTGACTATCCGAACAATTAGAATTCCATATCCTCGGTATAAGAGGTCCTTCCCCAGAGCTGACATACAATAACACACAGCTTTAGAATTTCCCAGCTATTTTCCCTCAGTCTGCGTTTTCATAATAATAAAGATACCTTTTCAAGAGCATGAACAGCTAAGCACAAATGAGGAGAAAGCTAAGCCATTATCTTGACTTCAGTTTGAAAGAGTACTTGGCAGAGTGTGGGATTAGGGGAAGTTTGCAACTGAATGAAAAACAGCTTATTCTCAGAGGCTCCACTTTTGGGGGGCGGGGTAGGGGAGGCTGTTACTTCTACAGAACAGAGCATCCAGACCAGACTTTTCTCATTCGGACCTTGTTCGATAGTCTCGTCAATATTCTCTCTCAGAAACTTGTAACTAATCGCCCTCCTTCCCCCCACTGCCCAGTACTTTTTTTTTTTTTTTTGACAGAGTGGACAGAGAGAGAGAGAGAAAAAGGTCTTCCTTTGCCGTTGGTTCACCCCCCAATGGCCTCTGCGGCTGGCGCACCGTGCTGATCCGAAGCCAGGAGCCAGATGCTTCCCCTGGTCTCCCATGAGGGTACAGGGCCCAAGCACCTGGGCCATCCTCCACTGCACTCCCTGGCCACAGCAGAGAGCTGACCTGGAAGAGGGGCAACCGGGACAGAATCCGGCGCCCCGACCGGGACTAGAACCCGGGGTGCTGGCGCCGCAAGGCAGAGGATTAGCCTATTGAGCTGCAGTGCCGGCCAGTACTTACCTTTTCCAAGTAGGTGTAGCTCCAGATTTTCCCATCAGCCCAAGTTCTTGAGATGATTTTTCCACTCTGATCATATTCCATTTTTTCATTCCATGTCCCTCTTTGAATAAATGTCACCAATCCCGAGGGTGAATACGTGATATTCACTTCATTATATCTGCTTACTGGAGACCATAGAACAGGTCGCCCAGTCTGGTCATAAAGAATGCGAAGGGTGAATTTTCGATGGTCATCATAGATCTTTCCTGTGCGGGTGATATGATCAAAATCTATGGAGAGCAGGTTTCTGTTATGGGCCTACAAAAGAGAGACAGAAAATACATTTTCAGCTCTGCCTGGTTTCCCCTCATCTAGTGCACCCTCAGTTCTGAGGATGCTCCTGATTGTCCCAGCGATGGGGTCTCTCTCACCTCGGAGTCCTGTGGTTGCATGTTCCTTGGGTGTCACTTGTTCTTTATTCACCCATCAGAGTGGGCACTCCTGGAAGGTCATGGCTATGTCTTCATTCCTGGGAGAGTACCTGTCATCGTCTATCTAGACCTTCAGTGTAGAGGTTGTTGATTATCTTTTGCTCAGCTCAAGCCTCAATTGCATGGCCACAGTTTTTCTTGGTTCTGTGACTTGACTTTATGTGAGTCAGATGCCTATGAGGGAGTGGGGCTTACTTCTCCTTTTTTTTTTACCAGTCAAGTAGCTAGAACATAGGATGGTTTGGCTTAGTTCTAGTTCTAGACTTCTGCATACCAGCATTCCATCTAGGTACCTTGAAACCTTGTAGCTGACACACAGTGAGCCTGATCCAGGGAACCTTGAACAGGATTCCATGAAAGAACTCACAGGTACCTGGCTTTGATTAAATTCTTCTTGGTCCACACAAGATAGCCAAATAATTTTAAATATTTAGTAAAAAAAATTTAAAAATCATCAAAACAATTTTTACCAGATTTTCAAAATAAATGGACTGTTGATCTGATTTTTTTCCACTTTTGAGTTAGTCAGACCCACCAGTAATGTCTGCCATGGCTACCTAATTAGAAAAGACACTACAGAAATGGTTCTTTTGTGTCAGAATGAAAGTTGCTGTTCCTGATTCTGATGGTTAAGGGGGTCAGTCCCTGCTGGCCAGGGTGCTGCAGGAGGCTTTGGGGAAGAGGAGGGTTTTGGAGCAGGGGTAGCAGGATCAGAGAAGGGCTTTGCAAATTGCATTTTATTTAATTTAGGTCAGCTCAGTTTAGCTAAGTTTTAGGTTTTTTTTTTTTTTAAACTTTTATTTAATGCATATAAATTTCCAAAGTACGACTTATGGATTACAATGGCTTCCCCCCCATACCGTCCCTCCCACCCACAACCCTCCCCTTTCCCACTCCCTCTCCCCTTCCATTCACATCAAGATTCATTTTCGATTATCTTAATATACAGAAGATCAGCTTAGTATACATTAAGTATGGATTTCAACAGTTTGCTCCCACACAGAAACATAAAGTGAAAAATAATAGATGATTTTTTTAAATGATGATGAAATCAGAGCAGACCTATTGTCATGTTTAATCCCAGTGAGAGTCAAGTTGGGAATTGAGTTTTTATTATAACTCTTTATTTTGAAGTAGCCTGACTCACAAGAAGTTGCAAAAAATGGTAGAGGTCCCCTGTAACCTTCACCCAGATTTCAGGGGGCAGACTTCTGATTTGGGTGGAGGGGGTCCAAGCAGATTGGGCAGGAACCAAGGCAAGAATGAAAAAGCAGAGACTTTGAGAGGTGTAAATAGCAGTAACCAGAGCGAGGAGACGTTTAGCTAGTTACTTGTCTATGCACCACTCATCTCTTCTATCTGGTTTCTTAGTTTTCTCATCTGTGAAATGTGAGCGATATTACTACTTTGTACCACAGACCTTCGTGGAAGAATTAAATTAAATGACACATGCAGGTACTCAGTAAACTGTGAAACAGCATTAGTTATTATTTCTACAATACAGGGAACACTTTACCCATTTTATTTAAACTTGTGACTAGGCCCATATGTCAGATTCCAAGGTGATTGTAGCATAGTGTACTAGATTTTTATCTGGAAGAATTGTCAGCATGATCCCAAGCAGGAGGTTAAATATCTGGTTTAGTGAGGGAGGGGAAAAAAGCCAATGTGACGGTTTGGCTACATTGTTCACAGTTGGACTAAATCTATCTACTATCTATTTAATCAAAATAGCTCTTTACTGGCTATATTTCATCAAAATAGCTGTTTAATAGCTAGATGTAATCAAAACTTTCAGATGTTGTGGTCAAAAATTCCTTTACGTATTTGACAGTGGCAGACTGCATCTCCAGAAAGTTGCACATAAGCACACACGTGAACATTTTTGGTAAATCTGGGGGTTGGGGGGGTGGGAGGGTGGAAGTTCTGAACTTCAAGGGATCTCCAGGGTCCAAGTGCAAACATCTCTGTTCAGAAAGTTTTTAATCTTTACTGGCTTGGAGGACTTCAAAATTCAGCCCTGTCATATCAGACCCTTCTTTTGCTCAGTGATATTGTGTACTTTGTGGGGTTTTTTTAATGTTTATTTTTCATCTGCTTGAAAGGCAGAGTGACAGGAGGGAGGGAGGGGGAGAGAGAGGGATAGAAAATCTTCCATCTGCTGGTTCATTCCCCAAATGGCCACAACAGCCTGGCTGGGGCTACACTAATGCCTGAAATTCAGAACTCAGTCTAGGGTTCCCAGGTGGGTGGCAGGGACCCAAGTGCTTGAACTTGTACCTGCCTCCCAGGATGCATATTAGGAGAAAGCTGGAATTGGAAGCAGAAGTACAAGCATTCAGACTGGCACACTGACATAGGATGTGTGCCCTGCAAGCAACAGCTTAACCTACTGAGCATAAGGCCCACCCTCATTTTGCTTACTAAAATAACCTCCTCCACCTCCCGCTCCCCAATTATAAAAGTGATAGATTTTTTATTGCATAAAAATTGGAAAATACAGAAGTGTACAAAGAAAATAATTACTTGTAATCTCACCTGCCAATGAGAACTACTGTGAACACTTTGCTGAGTTTTGTTCCAAATATTTTTTGTATAATCTCTGTTCAGACATTTAAAGTAGGATTGTACTTAAACTTCTATGTCTCGTTTTTCCAGCTGTTTTATCTTCAGCAGTCCTCATGTTATTAAATATTCTTAAACTATTGCTTTTAATGGCAGTATATATCTTACCACGTAATAAATATTATCCATTCTTCTATTGTTGGCAATTAGAATTTTTCCCATTTTTCTTTCATGTCTTTTTTTGTACCTTTTTGTAAATAAATATTTGCTTAATATGGAATCCTCTGAGTGAAATTACTGGGTCAAATGAGAAGAGCCTATGAAGAGACTCTGGATGCAACTTTTTTTTTAGCAGTACCTTTTTATGGGGTACAGTGCGGTATTTCAACACATAAACATAGCATAAACCGATCAAACCAGGCAAGGAACGTGAGAGAGTATAGTGCAGAGGCTACACAAATTCACACACCCATTAACTAGTAGTGGGAGAGCCCGCCTCATTCCAGTGTTAGTAGAATTGAAAATTATCCTTGTTAGCAACCTTTTCCCAATATCAAGGTAGGAAAATGCTGTGTCACTGCAGCTGAAATGTGCATTTCTTAGATTACCGGTGAGGTTGAACCCTTTCTGCTATCTATTTGCCACGTCTGTGTCTCCTGTGAATTGTCTGCTCATGACATTGGCCTGTCTTTCTACTGGGGTGTGGCACTTCGCTTTTTACACTCCTTTGGATTTCGGTTTCTTCACCAGTCAGCTGAAGCTAATGAGATTTGCCTTTAATTTTGAATTTCTGCCAAAAAAGGACCTATCAAATATTCCATGCTATGAATTCTATCCAGAAAACTTGTGATTACATACTCCAATTATTTGGGGAGACGTGCTGTGAGTCTCAGGGGTAGGTTTAATTCAAGGAATAGAGCCACAGATTGCGAATCATGACTGTTCAAACCATCTGTAGCCAACGTGTGCAGCGTTGAATTGCATAAATATACAGTCACCTGCTGTGATTGCCTAAAAGGTGACAGAGAAGCACATATTTCCTGTCTTTGGATATGCAGGGCTTGGAAGCCTATAGGAGAGCAGGTGTTCTTTCTTCAACTACCCTTCCTGTGGTTTTATAGCCACGGATCTCCAACTGTAATACCATTCCTTTACAATAGCCGTGAAATACCCGTGGACTCCCAGGGACAGTTGTAACCATTACAATTTATGTTAGAATGATAGTTAAAGAGCCAAAGTAGCAAGTGATTTCCAGTTCAACTAAATTTGTGGTTTTATGTGTCTGATAGATTAAGTTTACTACTCAAGAACACATTTCTTAATAAAGTCATTGCTGCTACCCAAAAGGGGATCACTGTTTAAAATCCACTACAAACCAAGCAGAAGAAAACTCTAATGTTTTTTCTCTGCCTGTCGGGACTTCTTCAGCCAGGCATCTCTATTTCTGGATAATGCACCCTGATATTTGAGGCAGGTGAGGTGCTTGTTTCAAAGTCAACTTTGGAAGCTAATGCAAAATTCAGCTCTGAGCTAAAAGAGGATGAGGGAGTAAAAAAAGGCCACAGGTTCCCTTGAGTCTCCTGTGGAAACCATGTGTGAGAAGCCTGGGAAGGAAAATGCTTTCCCAGGTGAGCTCTCCCAACCTGCCGCTTGACTGCCTCCGTGGTGTGAATGAGAAGTAGGTGGAACACCGCTGTCTGCTGGGGTCATGGGCAAGGTTGGGAAAGCTCCATAGATGTGCTTGCTTTCCTAAAAGCAGGGGTCGGCGCTGTAGCGTAGCAGGTAAAGCTGCCGCCTGCAGTGCTGGCATCCCATATGGGCGCCGGTTCCAGTCCCAGCTGCTCCATTTCCCATCCAGCTCTCTGCCGTGGCTTGGGAAAGCAGTAGAAAATGGCCCAAGTGCTTGGGCCCCTGCACCCGCGTGGGAGACCCGGAAGAAGCTCCGGGCTCCTGGCTTCTGATCGGCGCAGTGCGGCCATCTAGAGGGGACTGAGCCAGCAGATGGATGACCTCTCTCTGCCTCTCCTTCTCACTCTGTGCAACTCTTTCACATTAATTCATTAATTAAAAAAAGCCAATAGCGCTCGAACTAAGTGTGAGCCAACAATCCTTATTTCCACTCTTTTTCCAGTCTATACAAATCTGAAACAGGGGGGAAAGAAAAAGGACAGGAATTTGGGAATAGCTTTGCTATTCAAGTTTCACAACTGATAAGCTGGGTTGTTGTGGTAAGACAGCTGGACTTGCTGATTTTTTTTAATA